AGGATAGCATTGTACTGTTCAGTTCATAACCCCGGTGAATGAGGACACATCGCCAGTAGAGAAAATAAATATCTTGCAGCATGACAGGAAAATAATTGCCCATGACTTAATGTCAGCACAAATACGGCAGAACCGAATAAACTGGAGCTGGAGATATTGCATTAGGACATTTTATTCCTCCAAAGTGTTCAATTGGAAACTCTCCTCGTTTTGGTTGGTTTGCGCAAGCGCAGTTTGCGAAGGTGGAATTTCTGAGGATTCTGAGGAAGAAGAAGAAGAAGAAGATGATGATGATGAAGATGAAGATTTAGAATCTGTCGAGGTGGATTCTGATGCTGAGGATTCTGGCGTTGTGGAACTATAGTCGGATTCCTGTTCGATACTGCTCTCTTTTCCGGAGAGATTGCTGATGAAAAGGCTGTGTAGGCCGGCAATCCATAGATGAAGTTACAAATTTGAAATCTTCCAGCAGCTACCAGGCGCCTCTTCGAAGCAATCCAAAATGTCGAATATGTCCGCAGCTATAACACGTTTTTTATGACCACCTCAAAGAACTGGTGGTTGCTGAAAGCACAGACAGGCGACGTTGAGCAGATTATAGATACGCCAAGGAAAGGAAGCAGTTGTGTAAAACGCAACAATATCGTCATTGGAGTGTCATCTTTCGGCTAAAGAAGGGTATAATATGGGTCTCAAAGGTGTTGGCACTGCGGCAAGAATACATAACATATAACATGAAGCACTACCTCAAACCTTGAAAAGAGCCCCTAAATACAAAAATGTAATCTTGGCGTTTGGGTACCCATGGATTATGAATTTTTAATACCATACTGATCAACCACATTAAAGATCTAAAAAATGTTAACGCCTTTATTGTTCATTTTACGAACTGTTAAGCTGTGTCGTTTAAGGCAGAGCACGGTAATAAGACACCCATCAGTGATTAAATGAGATCGAACGAAATTATACGAAACCGACATCAACTAAGAACCGAAACTTTAAAAATAACTACAAGCTTAACTGTCACCCTAATGCTAAAAGTAAGTTAAACCCAAACCCTGACATTAACGCCGACACACATCTTCTAAGAATTTAGATTGCTCATGTAAATGGGCCCTATTCATTCCTCTTTTGCACTCATTTGATAGAGAACGGCTTACCTATAGCCATTGTAGATTCCCAGATACCTCTTCAGTTTTACGAACGATCACATTTTACGAACGATTGTAAACCGAAACACCCGGCGTACTACGGTTAAGCATTGTTGAAGTAAACGGGAGAGCCTATTCGCCTTATTTTGCACAGGTTTCAAAGTAGCGGTGCGAGCGCCTATTGGTTAGTTCAAGTAGGCTAAAATCCAATGTTAAGTCGTGTCAGGGTTAATGTAATTCTTCATTTTTTTGCAATGAAAATAATTTTTTTGCCATGTAAATTGTAGGGCATGTAAATTTGAGGTGTGCGCGGCG